GAATAACTACAGTAGGGAGGATTTTTTATTCTTATTATGTTATGTTTTATATTATGTACTCCTTGAGGGGATCCTGGAAGGCAAGGAGACTTTAGGAGACATATGAATGAAAAAGTAATTAGTGGCTTGGCTTGACCTATGCACAAAGAGTTATTGGCCTCAATCCACTTCTTAGGGCCACAGTCACGTGTCTCTATCACATAAATTGCCATCACAATTGGTATTAATTAGTATCTTTATTTCAATCTCATAGAGAAGCCAAAGATTTAGTGGTCATGGAGGCTGAAATTCCCCCGAAGAGATCTACGGGTTTCCTATTTGATGTATCGCAGTGTATTGTGCTATTGGGCCTGTATTTAAAAATGTAAGGACCCTGAAAGAGGTTGAGATTTTTGCTGACACAAGAGCAGGGGTGAAAGTAACTTAAATGACTTACTGGTATGCAGGCCAGCCGGGGTCCTGGGCAAGGTGCGGGGGGGCAGCTCTGGGCCCCTGGAAAGGGCGGGGCTGGGGCCAAAATCCCCCAGGTGTGGTAGCAGCAGCCGGGAGCCCCAGGTCCTTTAAATCACCACCGGAGCCCCGGGGTAGCAGTGTCATCGGCTGGGAGCCCTGGGCCCTTTAAATAGCCAGTGGAGCCCCGGGACCCTTTTAAATCGCCAGGCCCCGGGGCAGCTACCCCTTTTGCCCTCCCCTTCCTCCCCCCATCAGTGGCCCTGCCAGTACGGTCGGCACTTTCTTGCCAGTACGCCGGACCGGACCGGTTTACTTTCACCTTTGCACAAGAGTATTTTTGAGGTTTATAACATATGGTAGAAAGTAAAAGAATAATTTCAGTGAAACAGAAATACCTAAAAGAACATGGGTGTAGTTTAGAAATAGTTTGACTATGTTAAATGATTTTAGTAATGCAGTGAGAAGCACAGTGTTCCTTCTTGTAAAGAAAAGATTAGGAAGGTGTCTTCAGCATATTTTGGTCTCTTGCAGGGAGGCAGAATGCAGTGGAATTACATCAGGGATGAATTTGGCCCTGTATTTTTTAGAATGTGGTGACTCTCACTTCATGTGGCTCTTCATATTATTTTTGTGACTATTGCATGTCACATTTGTCACCTGCAGCCCCCAAACAAGAGACTTACAGTAACATTTTCAAAAGCACCTAAGTCCTATTTTCAAAAGTGACTTAGGCAACTAAGTCCCATTAACTTTGAATGGGGTTTTAAAAATGTTACCATTAGTGATTTACTGCAAGAGGGAAAAGTGACTATTTACAATGCTTCCAAAATATACCATAATTTTGTGCATATAAAAAGTTCAAGGCTAAGTTTTTACTCCCTGATCTCACTCAGAGCAATCACATTAGACTGCTTCACACCACACTAGACTTGCTTCACTTGTTCTTTCAGCTCCAGGTTGAGGGAAAATTAGAAAATCAAGGTTATTCTTAGTTCTAACATTTATAAAACTGTGAATGCACACAAAACAGGCTTTATGAAACAGGAATGAAACTGTAATACACATTTATGTATCCATTGTACATTCCGATCACTTTGAATCGGTGACACAATTTTCAAAAGCTTTCAGCATAGCTCTAACTCTGCTCCTAATTAATTTCAGTGGGAATAAAGTTGGGCCAATGTTGAGTACTCTTTAAAAACCTCATGCTGAATATATAAAGGGTAAAGTATTTGGAAGAATTCATTCAGTAAAATACTGTTATTTGTTCTTATCCAAACCTAATACTATAAAGAGTATTACCACAGACTGTGTCTCAAGTGATATGCAGGGAGGAGATGTGTTTGACAATAGGACTGAACATTTATACAAAGGGTTCTCAGGACATGCTGGCCCCTTCTCACATTCTCTACTTACTGAGCTCTTGGGAGTCCGTGTAAGTATCAGGCTCTGAACTGAATTCTGAGATGGTTGCCCCAGTTCTGGAAGATGTTTAGAAACAGCATCTTGGTTTCCCTGGCAGTACTGTGAGATCACCCTTTCCTATTCTGTGTCACATGGATTGAGCTCTCAGCTGAACACTGTGCCTATTATAGAAGGTGTAAATAGGGGAGACAGACCACACATGTGCCTTCTCAAGGACTTATAAAACCACTTTGATTTTTAGAAGAGTTATAACCATTAAAGGAGTAAGTTTCATGAAAGAAATGTTACTAGTTATCCCAATACTGAATATGGGAAAGAGAACAGCAGCCTGTCTTGATGAAATATTATACCATTTTTGCAATAAAAAGTGGAATCATTTTTTTCTACACCATTTTGCCATGAATTATTTATGTTTAAGATCTAGCAAGCCTCTTTTCTCCTGGCTTAAGTGTTCACCTCTTATTTATTCTTCAAACAGGCAAAGAACTCCAAAATAAAATAAAATATATGGGGGTGAGTCACCAGGAGGAAACAATCTGAATACATTAAGCAAAAGATGTCACCCATATTTATATGGATTAACTCCTTGACACTGTCCATCTGAAATTCCTGAATAAAACTGGTGGTTCTTGATGCCAAGCTTTGCTCCAAATAAACCCACCAGCTTTGACAATATAAAATGCTGACATTTCAGTGTATCAGAATGAAGCATTTTCCCCTGGGCTGTGCCATAACCATTACAACTGATGAGGATAATGATGAAATCAGGACTGGAGGGTTTTAAAGTTCCTCATGGGCCAACATTTTTCCAAAAGACAATAGTGTGATGCTGGTATTTAATTTAGTAAAGAACTTATTAGGGCCACAATTTACTTCTGTGCCAGGTGTGAATGGCTAGAAGTTGTGCTATGTGTTTGTTTCATTTCATATTTTTGGTGGCTGGACAAAAACAGGCCAGATTGTGGCTGGCACTTGTGTTGGGTGCACAAGGAAGTGGGGAAGGTGCCTGCACCTTAGATGGGCAGTATTACATGCTCCTAGCTACCAGCAAGGTGTCATGGCTTGGTTGTGGGTGGCCAAACCTAGAAGTCGGAGCCAGAGTCCGCAGTCTTGAGACAGGAGTCAAGAGTCAAGGCTGGGTCGGGATATTGGGAGGTCAGAGGCAGCAGACAGACAAACTGGCAGTCAAAAACCACAAGTCAGATGCCAGGAGATCAAGCTGGGTCAGAATCAGGAGTGCAAGTAGAGTGGTACCTTCCAGTATGCAGTACCAGCAAGAGATTTTTAGCAGGTATGGGGTACCGGGAAGACTTGGAGCTAGCCCCCCACTCCGGGGGGTGGGGCTGCGCTCTGCTCCTTAAAGGAACAGAATGCGGCTAGGGAGGGCATTCATTCTTTATATGGCTTTAACAGCACAATACATATGCTAACAAACTTAAACATAGGCTCTATTTAAGTTTGTTAGCATATGTATTGTGCTGTTACGTTGGTCAGGAGTCCTCAAGGGGGGCGGAGGGAGGGAAGGTGTTTAAACAATGTTTTTGATTCTGTTTCTCCCCATTGATCTGAATTATCCATGACATCCATACTGCATCACATCAAGTCCAAATCATTAGAGGAATGTCTCTGCTTGCACTGACCAGAGGATGTTTGGATTCTGATGTCAGCCCAGTCCTGCAGCCTGATGGAAATCAGGTGTTGTCCCCCATGTACATAAAATTCTTCTTTGCAGCCAAACTAGTCTAACATTCATTTTGTTAACTGGAACTGGAGCAGCAAAACAAAGAAAACAAGTGCCTCATTGTCCAGTTTTGTGGGTGAGAGAACTATAAGTGAAGATTATAATGCCAGACACTGATGGCCTTAAACCAGCTGCCTCAGGAATCTGAAAGAACTTTGCTGAAAATATGTTCCTCATCTTAGCAACGGAGCTAAGACTTATCACACATCTGCCCACCTTTAGTAAAATGAAGCTCCTTCTGATCTGACAGCTCAGGTATTGTCAGTTTCCTCCAGAACAATTTACAAATTTGGAACCTAATCCTGTAAACCCTTAATCATTTGATCAATCCCATTGAAGACAATGGGACTATATGCATGATTATGGACCACTTTTGTGGACTGGTAAGAGTTTCAGGAGTCTGTTCCTATAAAGGAAGTTGAATCCCCCATTGAAATGCAATGTTTGGGTACAATACCATAGAGCAGTTTAGGATACAGTTCTATTTAAAATTTGTCTTTTAATAAGTCATACATATGCTGAAACGGCTCCTCACCCAACTCCCATATTCCATTAAAACAGACTGAATACTACATATGTGGGGGGAAAGTGAGTAGTTAAGCATGTTGAGGTTTGTATATACAAAGGGGGGGGGGGTTGGATAGGGATGGGGAGAGCATGGGGGCCCTGGGCTGGGGCAGGGATGAGTCACATGGAGGGTCACGTGGGGAGGTCACGTGCCCCACCTTGTGTCCCTCCCATGAGTGCAGTACCAGCAAGAAATTATTTCTACTTGCACCACTGGTCAGAAGGCCAGGAGATCAATCAGGGGAAGCAGGAGCAGGCATAGCTAGCAGGAAGCACAGGGGGCACAGTCTGGACCAAGATGAAACCCAGTTGTTCAGATGGGTTCCTGTTCCTGACGCTAGCTTACGTAGGGCCAGCAGGTCCATCAGCCACTCTGGGACTCCACCACTTGGACCTCAGGGGCGGAGCCTCACACTGGGGCTGGGCTTCAGGGGTTTCAGGTAAGCTATTGCCAGCAGGCTGCCAGGTGGAGGGTTGGAGCATGGCTGCTCCCATGAACCTTGCAGGCCCTGGTTTGAGACCTGTGGGTCGTGACAAAAGGGATTGGTATGAAGAAGTAGTCATTCTCCTCTCCCTCCCCCCATTGCTGATCAGGTGTGGGAGAAGCATGCTGCACCATAGGAGGTGTATAGATGGTGTGCTAGGGTAGTCAACACACTTCTTGGGGACTTGGGCAATATTGCATTCCATCTGCACTGCTCTCCTTACAGTGGGAAGGGAAGTGCAATTTTTCTAGGCCATTCTATGTTCATATTTTCTTACCCAGCTATCTCAGTGTTACTATTTTATGGCAATTTTGTCTTCTTGATTTTAGATGAAGATCTTTGACAAAAATAAAGATGGACGATTGGATCTGAATGACCTGGCAAGGTATTTTTTAATGGTACCGTTTTGGTTTAGCAGCTTCTAGTGGCAGACCTGGGCAAGCTGATGGTTTATACTGCGGAGGCCTGAGTTTGAATTCTTCCTACGTTTCAAGTGAAACCAGGCTGTCTAGGTGTTTCTACAGCATGGTCCCGTTACCACAGCATCCACGTGCTTGCTGCATTAGAGCTCTAGGGAAGGCCAGGATTTGCCTCCCCCTCACTAACATGCCCTAGAATACTTTGTACTGGCTGAAGAGGTGCTTCAAAGGAGGTAACATGGCAGCCGATGGAAAGTATTAGAAGGTTCTGGACTGTGTGTATAGAGGTGCAGTCAAGGCATTACTGAATATATAGAGAGAGGTGCCTTGACCTCGCCTCTACCCATATAGATTCATAGATTCATAGATTCATAGATTCTAGGACTGGAAGGGACCTCGAGAGGTCATCGAGTCCAGTCCCCTGCCCGCATGGCAGGACCAAATACTGTCTAGACCATCCCCGATAGACATTTATCTAACCTACTCTTAAATATCTCCAGAGATGTTATATATATATATAGATAGATATATATAAAGTGGCCCCCTTGTAACATGCATACTTAAAGCTGTCTCTTAATGAGGAGAAAATATATTCAGCCAGGCCTTGACTATGCCTCTATACACACAGTCCAGAATCTTTTAATACTTTCCCTCAGCTGCCATGTTACCTCCTTTGAAGCACCTTCTTGGCCACTACAAAGTGTGCGTGTGTGTATTCAGTTGTGCCTCTACCTCACCTTTGTCCATGCACCCCAGAATCCTTTAATACTTGCCATTAACATTTAGCTGAGAATAATAACCCAGAATCCTTTAATACTTTACTTTCTGAGACACACATTGAGAGAGAGAATGAAAAATACCATAGGAAGGCCATTATTCCAGCTTCCTCTTAGATATGACTCTGTAAGTGGTCTGCTTATAACACATATGCTAGCTGACTCTTAGTAAAATGAATTTAGTAGATTCCCTCCAGCTCAGAGTGAACATTTGTCATTTGTCACATCACAAAACCTCAGTGAGGGCACAATTTGACATGATTGGCATTCTGTGCTCAGGGGAAACCCAGAGCTGGAATAGTTGCTCGAAAGAAGGGCTTTTAATAGTGCTTTAAGGGGAAATTTGTACATTGTTAGTGCTCAAGACAGTATTATTTTGTCCTTTTTTCACAACCAGGGAATTCATCCATGAGAAGATCTCTCTCTCTCTCTCTCTCTTTTTCATATATATATTCCACTGATTCCACTTTAAAGAGAGAAAGAGCATTTCCTTTAATTCAGCACAGCAATCCAGTTACAGAGGAGTAACTGGACAATACCTCTTGCTTTTAAGGCTAACCGCCTCCACTGGTCCTAGCACTGGAAATGTTCTGTAAGCATAGGCACCAACTTCTCCTGGTGCCGGTGGGTGCTCAACCCCCTAGTCAACCGACTCCACCCCTGACCCGCCCCCTCCCTTCCCTGCTCCGCCTCACCTCCATTCCAACCCCTTCCCCAAAGTCCCCGCCCCAACTCCACCCCCTCCCTGCCCCATTGGACTCCTTCCCCAAATCCCCGCCCCAGCCCCGCCTCTTCCCCACCTCCTCCCTAAGTGTGCCACGTTCCCGCTCCTCCCTCCTTCCTCCCACAGCTTATTACGCAGCGAAACAGCTGTTTTGTGGCAGCAAGCGCTGGGAGCTAGGGGGAGAAGTGGGGACGCGGCATGCTCAGGGGAGGAGGCAGAGGTAGAGGTCAGCTGGGGTGGGGGGGCGGGGCGGGGAGTTTGGTTGCCAGTGGGTGCAGAGCACCCACCAATTTTTCCCCGTGGGTGCTCCAGCCCTGGAGCACCCACGGAGTCGGTGCCTATGTCTGTAAGGGTCATTAACATAAAGGAGTCCATTTTCAGAACAGTGAGCCATGGGATTCGTACTACAACTCCCCACAAACAGAGAGGGATTTATGGTCACATCACCCACAGATCTCTCGGAAAGTACCTCCTTCTTAAGACTGCTGTAACCTACAATCTTCTTGCCTTCTGGACAAGTAGAACTAATACGATAACCAAAAAGATAATAATTTAGATCTCTCCTTTTAGGATTTTGGCACTCCAGGAAAATTTCCTCCTTCAATTTAAAATGGATGTAAGTAGCACTATTTTCTAATGAATTTGTTTTACTTTTTTCAGCTGAGATAACTCAGCCCTAGCCTCAACCCATTATCATTTTTTCCCCTGCACTCAGGCTTGTAGTAAAGAAGAAAGGAAGAACGATTTTGAGAAAATCTTTGCACACTACGATGTTGTGAGTTCTGTGGGGTGTTTTATTCTACTGCAGTTTAAGTGGCACATCTGGACTTGGACTCGCATTCATTCCCATGCAATGTAGCATTGGGTGATGCTGTATTGTTAGGGGTCTCTTTCTTCAGGGGAAGCAGTGTTTATAGAATCACAGAAGCAGTGCTGGCCTTAGCTCTGTGTCCGTCAAGCAGTTTTGCACCACATGCATGCCTCACCCCATCAACCAGAATGCCACCTTCAAAACCCCATTCATAGCTCTTTTGACTGCAGGACCAGTGGGGCACAGCAGAGACTGAATTCCCTAATTGTCCTATATCACTTGGAAAGTGGCATGTCAGTGCCATTTCCTGCCTTCACAGGACTTGTAGGGTAGTCACCAAAGAGCCTCACAAACAGCTGAGGGAAGATGTCATCACAGTTTATGGGGAGAGGAGAAATCACGTGCGATGGTTCGGAGGATAGGATTTTACAGATACATGGAGTTTGGGGGGACCTGATGGGTAGAAAATATTACTATATTTCTGACTTGGTGAAATGCCTTTAATGTTTCCTCTGTCTTTCAGAGTAAAACAGGAGAACTGGAAGGTCCAGAAGTGGATGGGTTTGTCAAAGATATGATGGAGCTTGTCAAGGTGGCTTCAGGATTCTTTGCATTTATTGTTTCCCATATTTTTCATAGGAATGATATGTTCCTGATTTGCACAAACCTTTGAAAATCTGGAATCAAATTTAGTCATAAGAAGAAATTAATTTCATGGTCTCCGCATGAACACTGTTGGACCTATGTCCATGTCACACTAACACTGTCAGACACACAGTCTGGTATAATTCAAAATGACCAGCAGTTTCTTCTTAATAGAGGCCTAAGATAGTTTATGTTCTAAATTAGACAGACAATGCAGTTCAACAAACACTAGTTGAAGGTTCAGTCTCTGACTGGTACATATACACACTTTTTTCTTTGGTCAAATTCATGTAGGATTCAATGATTGAAGGGCACTGATTTAGCTGTCAGGGGTAAAGGGGAAAGAGGGGAATCTTGCATGGACAGTACTTCGGTCTGTCTTTTCTTATGAGTTCCATTATGAGTGCAAAGGAGTCCAATCCTATGAGGTGCTGAATGCTCAGTTCCCAGGGAAGTCATAAGTAGAGTGAGTGAATAATTGATTTTTTGATTTGGTGAACAAACCAAAAAATCTGGGGGATAAAAGTGGTTAGTTTCAAACTGAAACTGAATTTTTTTCAGTTTTTCTTGCAGAAACAATAAAATGAAAATATTTTGTTTGGGTCACACAGAATGTTTCAAATGGTGATTTGAAATGATATTTGCTCCAGGTAAGACTGAGGTGATGGTAGTAGGCGGGTGGAACAACCAGAGGAAATGGCGGAGATTGCATCACTTCCTTCAATTACAAGGTTTTACCCACCTTTTATTACTGTGGTTCACAGTCCGGGGGGGTGTTAATCAAGTCTTCAGGTGTTATTGGATGTGCAGATAGCAACTCTGGCCAAGACCTTGTCTACACTAAAAAGGGTTTGCTATATAGCTATCCTGGCAAACTGTTGTAGTGGGGACACAGCTTATACCAGCTAAAGAGAGCACTTTTTTCTGGTGTAACTGCATCTACACTAGGGCTTTTGCAGACATGTCTGTGTTAGTTAGGGGAGTGATTTTTTTTCACTCTCCTAACCAACATAACTATACCAGAAAAACTTAAGTGTAGCGCAGATTGAGAGTTCCTTTTTCCATTTGTGCTTGGCAGGAAAGTTGTAATCTTTTCTTTGGATGTGGCCCTGGCCATAATTGTCCATGTCTTTGCTATCTCCATATTGAATTAGTACATATGTGTTCTGCATAGAGCTACACCTGAAAATCATCTGGACTCTTCAGCTAGTGCAGGCAACGCCCTGCCTGTTTACTGGTGCTTCTCACAGCCAGGAGACTATAACTGCACTGTATTCCATTTAGTTTCCAGGTGCAATTTGAACTTTTGATTTTGACCAACATAGTTTCAACCTTGGCTACCTTAGAGTATGTCTGGACTGCAAAAAAACCCCACGGCAGCAAGTCTCAGAGCCCAGGTCAGCTGACTTGTGTTCATGCTATGAGGCTAAAAATAGCAGTGTAGATGTTTGGGCTCAGGCTGGAGCCCAGGCTCTGAGACTTGACAAGGCAGGAGGGTCTTGGAGCCCAGGCTCCAGCCCAAGCCCGAACATCTACACTGCTATTTTTAGCCCTGTAGCACGAGTCCCACAAGCCCAAGTCAGTTGTCCTGGACTCTGAGACTCGTTGTGCAGACGGACCCTTAGAGGCTTCCCGTGTGAAACTGCATTTGAGATATGCTGTGGCTAAGAGCTACCCCAGTTTAGAATCATCATCAGAGTTTGAACCTTCAGCACTGCAGCACAGACTGCTCCTACTTGAGCTGCAGGGCTAACTGTATTAGCTGGCAGCAAGGGAAGGTTGTTTGAGAGTGGTTGGGGGGAAGTCCAGCCTGGCCTGGTGCTCTCTGTGTTTTCCACCCCTGGAATTTGGAGAACTCCTGTCCTATGTGTCGCCCCCAGAGGTGTGAATGGCTTTTGGAGCCATATGCTGGGTTTTGGTGGATGGTTGAAGGAAGCCCTGTCTATCTGTCTCTCTCTTCCCTCCCAGGAGTTGGGGGAGCTCCTGACCCATGTGGTAAACCCAAGGGAAAGGATGTAAATGAACCACTGGGGCCATGCTCTGGATCAGGGAGTTAATAGGAGAGGGAGCCTGCCCGACCTGTCTTCCCTTCCTCTACCTGCAGTTAGTCCAGCACTTTGCTGGTGTTCCCATTGCAGCATGTGCTGGTACTACTGCTTTGGCAGCTGAATGAGTCCAGCCTGGGAATGTGCAATGACTTTGACATTCCTCAGGAAAGTTTTGGTAGCATGCCAGAGAGAGAAAGGAATTGGCAGTTTTCAACACTTTATATCTCAGCGAATTCTTTGTCCTGGGACAAAGAAAAGGCTCTTGTGTAGCCCAAGAGGATTTCCTCTGCCAAATATCAAAGGTCTTCTGCAAACAATGGAGGTGGGGGAGCTTCTCAAAGAAAAGGTCCCAGGCATTCTTTATAATGGAAAGTGCTAGGCAGCCTAAATATAGGGGGGTTGTTACCAGCTCCTCCTACAATAAAGTGTAATTAATCAGGGGCGTATCGTATATCAGTTAAGAATAAGAACTAGTCTTTATATTGACTGCGTATCCAGAGACTAACAATATGGATTGGATATGATGGCATCTGCCTTTCAATATCTGAAAGCCTGATGAACATCAGTTCTTGTTTTTCCATAACCTGCACTCCATCCACTCTCAATCTTTTCCTTCCCACCATTTACACATAGTTAACTGTAGGCTGCCTTTTAGCCTTGTGTACGTGTAGCCAATAATAATAACAAAAATGGCAGATAACATCTATCCATGGAAATATAAAAAATGTACTTTTGTAAATTGGGCTCAGATGAGCAGATACGCTTTCAATAACATGCTTTTCACATTTGCCATGGTGTCTGAAAAGGTTGGGAAGACCTTAGTAACCAGGACAATGACTGAAACAAAGAAAAGAAGACACTTGGTCATGTGATGTGGGAACATTCTTCCCTCAAGGGATTTCTTCATCATCATCATCCTTTTTGTAACCATGGCTGAAGCTGATATTTTTGACACCACAAATTCTGTTCTCATTATGAGAATGTGAGAACAAAGGAAAGATGTTAATGCAAAGAAATGATACAGCACTATTGTAATACAATGGAAATGTAGCCATTAAAATAACGCTTCTATAGTGTGTTAGCCAGCCCATGGTATTTCAGGGCTGTTTAAAGCAATAGAATTAGTCTGGCACATAGTACTAACTTAGAGAATATTTATCTATCAGTCACACACATTCCGAAAGGCACAATGTTTGTGGGAGAAACAGAGTTAAAGTACAGGACTGGGAGTCAGGAGAGCTGGGTTCTGTGCACAGCGCCGCAGCAGGGTTTGCTATGTGATCCTAGATCATTTAACATCCCTGTGGCGGGGAAAACACCACAGCGGCCCAATCCTGTAGCGTTTAATTTCAGAAAGGGGAACTACACAAAAATGAGGAGGTTAGTTACACTGAAATTAAAAAGTACAGCACCAAAAGTAAAATCCCTGCAAGCTGCATGGAAACCTTTTTAAGACACCATAATAGAGGCTCAACTTAAATGTATACCCCAAATTAAAAAACATAGTAAGAGACCCAGAAAAGAAATACCATGGCTAAACAACAGAGTAAAAGAAGCAGTGAGAGGCAAAAAGGCATCCTTTAAAAAATGGAAGTTAAATACTAGTGAGGAAAATAGAAAGGAGCATAAACTCTGGCAAACGAAGTGTAAAAATATAATTAGGAAGGCCAAAAAAGAATTTGAAGTACAGCTAGCCAAAGACTCAAAAAGTAATAGCAAAAAAATGTTTAAGTACAGGGGCAGGGGGTTGGGGTGCAGGAGGGAGTGCGGGGTCTGGGAGGGAGTTTGGGTGCAGGAGGGGGATTCTGATCTGGGGCAGGGGGTTGGGGTGCAGGAGGGAGTGCGGGGTCTGGGAGGGAGATTCTGATCTGGGGCAGGGGATTGGGGTGCAGGAGGGAGTGCGAGGTGTAGGCTCCGGCCGGGAGGCACTTACCACAGACGGCTCCCGGCCAGTGGCACAGCAGGGCTCAGGCTGCCTGCCTGTGTGCCATAGCCCCAAGCTGCTCCTGATAGCAGCTGGCTGCTAGCACGTCTCTGCGGCCCCTCGGGGGAGGGGGACAGCATGTCTGTGTGCGCTGCCCACACCCACAAGCGACGCAGCCAATGGGAGCTGCAGTGACAGTGCTGGGGGCGGGTGCAGTGCGCGGAGCTGCCTCTCCCCCCACCACCAGGGGCCACAGAGACATGCTAGCAGCCGGCCGCTTCCAGGAGTGGCGTGGGGCCACGGCATGCAAGCAGCCTGCCTGAGCCCCACTGTGCCGTGGGACTTTTAGTGGCCCGGAGTTGGAGATCATTGCCTGTGATTTATTTTTGCAGGGTCCCCCTTGAGCCGGGGCCCTGGGCTGCAGCCCCTAAAGTCCCTGCCTTAATCCTGCCCTGGGACTAATAACTGTAGTCTGTAACCTATCATTTAAATCAGCTTCTGTACCAAATTACTGGAGGATAGCTAATGTGATGCTGATTTTTAAAAAGGGCTCCTTAGGTGACCCCGGCAATACAGGTCGGTAAGCCTGACTTCAGTACCGGGCTACTGGTTGAAACTATAGTAAAGAACAAAATTGTCAGACACATAGATTAACATAATTTGTTGGGGAATAGTCAACATGGTTTTTGTAAAGGGAAATCATGCCTCACCAATCTACTAGAATTCTTTGAGGGGGTCAACAAGCATGTGGACAAGGGGGATCCAGTGGATAGAGTGTATTTAGATTTTCAGAAAGCCTTTGACAAGGTCCCTCACCAAAGGCTCTTAAGCAAAGTAAGCAGTCGGTTCTCTCATGGATTGGTAACTGGTTAAAAGATAGGAAACAAATGGAGAGAGGTAAATAGTGGTATCCCCCAGGGGTCTGTACTGGGCCCAGTCCTATTTAACATATTCATAAATGATCTGGAAAAAGGTGAGGTGGCAAAATTTGCAGATGATACAAAACTACTCAAGATAGTTAAGTCCCAAGCAGACTGTGAAGAGCTGCAAAAGGATCTCTCAAAACTGGGTGACTGGGCAACAAAATGGCAGATGCAATTTAATGTTGATGAATGCAAAGTAATGCACATTGGAAAACATAATCCTAACTATACATGTACAATGATGGGGTCTAAATTAGCTATTACCACTCAAGAAAGAGATCTGGGAGTCATTGTGGATAGTTCTCTGAAATCATCCACTCAATGTGCAGCGGCAGTCAAAAAAGCAAACAGAATGTTGGGATAGGGATAGATATCCCAAGAAAGGGATAGATAATAAGAAAGAAAATATCATATTGCCTCTCTATAATTCCAAGGTACGCCCACACCTGGAATACTGCATGCAGATGTGGTCGCCCCATCTCAAAAAAGATATATTGGAATTGGAAAAGGTTCAGAAAAGGGCAACAAAAATGATTAGGGGTATAGAATGGCTTCCGTATGAGGAGAGATTAGTAAGACTGGGACTTTTCAGCTTGGAAAAAAGGCGACTAAGGGGGGATTTGATAGAGGTCTATAAAATCATGAGTGGTATAGAGAAAGTAAATAAGGAAGTGTTATTTACTCCTTCTCATAACACAAGAACTAGGGGCCACCAAATGAAATTAGTAGGCAGCAGGTTTAAAACAAACCAAAGGAAGTATTTCTTCACACAATGCACAGTCAACCTATGGAACTCCTTGCCAGAGGATGTTGTGAAGGCCAAGACTATAACAGGGTTCAAAAAGAACTAGATAAATTCATGGAGGATAGGTCCATCAATGGCTATTAGCCAGATGGGCAGGGATGGTGTCCCTAGCTTCTGTTTGCCAGAAGCTGGGAATGGGTGACAGGGGATGGATCACTTGATGATTACCGGTTCTGTTCATTCCCTCTGGGGCACCTGCCATTGGCCACTGTCAGAAGACAGGATACTGGGCCAGATGGACCTTTGGTCTGACCAGTATGGCCGTTCTTACGTTTTTATCACTCACTTATGCTCTGGGCCAAATTCAGAAATTATGTTAGACTTCCTTATTTAGACTCCCTTAAATCTAATTAAACCCACTGCACCTATGTAGAGCCACAAGACCTTTCCCTCATCCTTCTCTCCATTTCATTTGTATCTCCCCCCTCAATGTGTTTCATGTGCTTCAGTCATTCTGCAATTCCCATTGACACATGTTGTTAGAAAAATGACTGAGAGATTTTCTCTCCCAACAATGATTCTTTCTTTTGTCTCCAGCCCAGCATTAGTGGTGTGGACCTGGATAAGTTCCGTCAGATTCTGCTCCATCACTGTGATGTGAACAAGGATGGAAAAATTCAAAAATCTGAATTAGCCTTGTGTCTTGGGCTTAAAATGAACCCATAGATTTGAATGCGCTTCACCTATTGTTTGCAATGTTTTCTTTGTAAGAACTTACTGCTGCCGGTAGAACTCTTTCAGTGCTGTGTTAACAATCTGTGTGATAGTGCTGAACGTGGAAGATATAGGCACCTCACTGCTGTAATGAAAGTGCATTTGCACCAGGATGCCACAGAGTGGAGAATGCATGAAGGGCCTTTCAATTCAATAACTAGATTCACATTGTTCAGTAGAAGAAATTACGTGTGGGGCCTCTGTATTTTTTATAAATAATGTCCATATCCACAGACATACCAGTTTATCAAAAATGGGGGATGTCGTTCCATTACTTCCTTCATAAAATACTGCCACAATCAGTTCTTTGGCGTAGGATGAGTCTTTCCTTAAAATGTAAGATTAGTGCTCTCATACTGTAGCTGCTTTCATTGCCCGATTTTTATGATGACTGCCTTCTATGTGAAGTCACTATATTTCTAAACATGAGCATTGTGCTTTACTTGTGCGTACAGCATTATAATACTGGATGGATTGCAGTTTATTTGTGCAAGAATAAAAACAGCAATTAAGGAAATACAGTAAGATTGGTGCTTATGCATTATTTATGGACAGCCATACATCACAGTTCGATAGTCATACTATACTATGTATATTCTAGCTGTCATCTCACTGTATTTATACAGAGCACATTAAGTGTTAAGATTCACATTGTTCAGTAGAAGAAATTACCGGTGGGCCCTGTGCATTTTTTATAAACAATGTCCATATCCACACACCTACCAATTGATCAAAAATGGGGAACACCATTCCATTACTGCCTTCATAAAATACTGCCACAATCTGCGCTCTAGAGTAGAATGAGCCCTAATGGATTTGTCAAGCCTTGGCTTTACATATGCCAGGCTACAGAGTACAGTGGAAACTTCTCACAGAGAAATCACTTACTGCACAAAATAATTTCACTCTGGGCTAAATCCTTCTTTTGACACAAATCTAAGGGCAGGTCTACACTACCCGCCTGAATCGGAGGGTAGAAATCAATCTCTCGGGGATCGAATTATCGCTTCTCGTCGGGACGCGACAATCGATCCCCAAATTGACACTTCTACTCCACCAGCGGAGGTAGGAGTAAGCGCCGTCGACTGGGGAGCCGCGGAGGTCGATTTGCCGCCGTCCTCACAGCGGGTTAAGTCGGCTCCGATACGTCAAATTCAGCTACGCTATTCGTGTAGCTGAATTTCCGTATCTTAAATCGACACCCCCTCCCCCCCGTAGTGAGGACGTAGCCAACATAAAATGGCTTCGTGCAGGGTTTCCCATTAGGGAGACTAAGGCTCAGAGTCGGCAAAGCACTTGCTCAACTTTAACTTTATTTCTTTTAAATCAATGGGTCTTAACCACATGTTTACATGCTTGGCTGAACTAGGAACTAAATCCCTCCCTCCATGGCCTCCGTGACACTATTGGAGCCTCAGTGCCGTAGCATCTGCTGCACTCTGTGATCTTCCATTTCAGGGCAACCAACCAGTGGATACATGTAGTCAGCAACCCACTGGCCACACCCACAATGCACTGTCTACTCTCCCTTCGAATAATCCCCTCTTTATTTACAAAGAGAAACCAGCTGAGGAGACATGTTCAGTAGAACCTCAGTAGTTCTGTTGCACCGAGGATCTGCCATATCCATGGAGGCAAGATTTCCCCCGTAAGTGGAAGTTCACTAGATCTACAATGCACTTTGCACATTGCAAAGCACTGAAATAATCTGATTCTATTTCATCATATAATATTTACAGAAAATGACCTTTAATAAGTCAACGTTAAGTCCTATTGATTTCAATGGGACTACTCATATGCTTCAGTACTTTGCTGAACAGGGATGTGTTTATTCGTGTCCTTCAGTGTTTTGCTAGATCAGGGCCTTAACTCTCAAAACTGATTGTTGTCATTCTGACAACAACACGGAATCACAACAATAATAACTTGAGTTTTCACAGTGTTTGATGGAAGGCAGTAAATAAGCAATCATGCCTTACGAGTACAGAGACGCACTGTTATCCACATACACGTTCATTCATCTGAGGAACAAGCTGTGCTCATGTTGCATGACAACAGACAGAAAGCTCAATAGCTAAGAAAACTATAAACGTGCTGTATACAGGGACGTCCCTACCCATGTGCAAAGTACGCAGCGGCGTAGTGCTCCAGCCCCTGCTCCGCCTCTTCCCCATGGCCCCCGCCCCTGCTGCGCCCCAGCCCTGCCCCCTCTCCATCCTTTCCCCAAGCCCCGCCCCTGCTCTGCCTCCCGTCCCTTCCTGCCCCTGCTCTGCCCCAGCCCCGCCCCCACTCCCCTGAGAACTGCTGCTGGGGTCGGGCCTGCACTCACCACATGGTAAGTGGAGCGACCCAGACCCAGCCTGCTCCGCTCCCCTGGCTCCCAGCCGTGCCGCCAGCGAGTGCTGGGTGGCGGTTCCTTCCTCCCCCCAAGGCTGGGAGCCAGGGGAGCAGAGCGGAGCAGGCTGGGGCTGGTTTCCTCCCAGACTCCCCCCCACAGAGGCTTGGGGCCCCACACAACCCCCCCATGGGGGGGGCTGTGTAGGGCACGAAATTGGCTAGGAACGGCCCTGGCTGTATATGATATGTAAGTTATCATAGTCTTTAATAATTTTCTACAAAACATAATACAGGACATAACCAACCACAGTTCCATCATATTTCCAAGGGGGTTCATCAACCAAAATAATGATCCCTTTCCTTTCACTCGTATCCTGCCTCTTTGTCTTTCTGGCTGTCTTTCTATTATCATGTATTATATTGCTTTCTTAATCTAGTTTTCCATTACTTTGATATCAGAGATAATTCTGCACCATGATATTACACTATTTTATATGGTTAAACACCAGCTTTATGATGCTGTTGACATGTTTATATGCTAGGAGGCTAATTCTGATCATATACCAGTTTAACTCCACTGACATTACTCCTGATTTACACTGGTATAAATGGGTTAAAAAAGTCGCTGTTAAAAAAAATTCTGAAACAAGTGGTATTGACTAACCTTAAAGTTACAGTGACTTTACAAGACCAGTTTATAAAAACCTCAACAAAGAAACATAGCTGAAAAAAAGCTAATTTAGCAGCACCCCTGAGTCATCTCTAAATGTGAGTAGTTCAGTATCCTTGCAGGCTCTGGTGGGCTATTTATTGACTATGTCCTACTATTGCAGTGAAAACCGTCTGATACAAGAGAATGTGAAAAGGTGGGATTTTTTTCTTTTTTTATAGAGGTCCACCTTGCTGACTACACATTTTCTACTGTAAAATTTCTTTTTCTTCAAATGGCTTTTAGTTGCTAAACGGAGCTACGGTGACAGCTATATTTCTCTTCAAATAAAAGTATTTCTTGTCTTATTGATTTTTTTCTGGGAGCAGAAAAGCATTTTTATGACTTTTTAAAATGTTTTCAGCACATGAAATTGGGGAGAGAAAGGGTGTCTACACTGTAATGTAAGCCCAGTGTTTGAACTCAGGCTCAAGTTTAACCCCCCGCTTCTGTCCACATATAAATTGCAGTAACCCAAGGCTTGGACCTAGGGTCTGAGGACCCCACAGGAGGTGGAGGGTCTGGGTTGAAATCAAGCCAGGACCCAGGCTTCAAGCCCTGTTTCTTTGTAGTGTTTAGATGCAGTCCCACTGGACTTGTGCTCGGGGAGTTGGCCAAACGTATTCCACAATCCCATGGGCCGACTTTCTGTCCTCTGGACAGTCAAGTTTTCCTACACTGCACCACAAACAAAGGGCTAGAGCAGCCACTTTTTGGGAAGGTGCTAGGAAGTCTGGGATATGGGTGGTTGGACTCGGAACCACATAATGCACTGTAGATATTGGAGCCCCAGGTTGGGTCCTAGGGTTCAACAATTCTTAACCTGGTGTTATAAAGAATGTAGATGCTCAAACCCTAGGTTAACAAACCCAGGGTCTGCTAACGTGAGTTCTACTAACCCTGGGTTTACGGTGCAGTGTAGACATACCCAAAGAAGATGCTGCGCAAAGGCCTGATCCAAATTGCTTTGAAGTTAATATAAAGCTTCTCATTGACTTTCAGTGGGCTTTGGATCAAATCCTAGAAGCTAGGATAGGAAGATTTAGAGACAGTGGGAGTTTTCCATTGAATTCAATTGAGGCCAGGAATCCTCCCTTTAATTCTTTTTGGTTAAATAAACAGTCTTGCTCCTGGGTCATAAGGGTTTGAGATGCACATAGGAAATGTGGTTAGAGACTGTGATAGGTTTGGGCTTTTTGATTGCACAAGCACCAAGTAAAATAAAACTGAAATGCTACAGACATTTCGTGCTTGTTTGTTGTTTGTTCACTCTGGGCCTTGTGGGGAGTTTCTCGCTAGCTGCACAGACACTGACTCTGCCTCACAGTACAACTGAGAAATACAGACTTTGGTGTTATATCTGGATCCAGCAGAGAAGGAGATAGACTATGGCCTGGTCTACACTATGAGTTTAGGTCGAATTTAGCAGCATTAAATGCAATTAACCCTGCACCCGTCCACACAACAAAGCCATTTACTTTGACATAAAGGGCTCTTAAAATCGATTTCTGTACTCCTCTTTGATGAGGGGAGTAGGGCTGAAATCGACATTGCCAGTTCGAATTAAGGTTAGTGTGGACAAAATTCGACGGTATTGGCCTCCGGGAGCTATCCCACAGTGCACCATTGTGACTACTCTGGACAGCAATCTGAACTCAGATGCACTGGCCAGGTAGACAGGAAAAGCCCCGCGAACTTTTGAATTTCATTTCCTGTTTGCCCAGCATGGAGAGCACAGGTGACCACTCAGAGCTCATTAGCACAGGTAACCATGCAGTCCGAGAATCGAAAAAGAGCACCAGCATGGACCGTACGGGAGGTACTGGATCTGATCGCTATATGGGGAGAGGATTCCGTGCTAGCAGAACTACGATCCAAAAGACGAAATGCCAAAACATTTGAAAAAATCTCCAAGGGCATGATGGAGAGAGGCCACAATAGGGACTCATATCAGTGCTGTGTGAAAGTTAAGGAGCTCAGACAAGCCTACCAGAAAACCAAAGAAGCAAACGGAAGGTCCGGGTCAGAGCTGCAGACATACCGCTTCTATGCTGAGCTGCATGCAATTCTAGGGGAGGCCGCCACCACTACCCCACCCCTGACCGTGGATTCCGAGGAGGGGGTACTCTCAGCCATGCCTGAGGATTCTGTGGACGGGGAAGATGAGGAGGAGGAGGACAAGCTTGCGGAGAGCACACAGCACTCCATTCTCCCCAACAGCCAGGATCTTTTTCTCAGCCTGACTGAAGTACCCTCCCAACCCTCCCTAGGTGGTATCCCAGACCATGAAGCCATGGAAGGGATATCTGGTGA